AGTTGGATTGTAATGTATTGGCACACGATAAGTTGGGAAGAGAAAAATACATCCTTACTAATTGTAAATTAATATTTTCTGCAATGGAAATGATAATGTTGGTACACATGTATTGATAAATCAATTTAAATGGTTTCTTTAGAAGAGGCGTTGTTAGCCCTACTTTAGCAGTACAATCAAAAACTACAAAGAGCGCAGATTTTGTTGTGTTTATGTGAGAGCCAAGATCATGAGAACCAAGTGGCAAACCGGGAAGGGGCGGGAATGCAAGAAGAACTCCGAGTCAATATGTGGAAGGAGAAATCAAGAAAGAGATGAGATCAGCAGACCAATAAGATAGCGACCAATCCGAATATAGTCCAGCAGGCGCCGTCCTTCGCAATCTTCTTGAACAAGTTATCCATCCGTTTATTGGCTCTCGTCAATCGGTTCGACGTAAAGTCTAGATCCTGGTCTAATTCATCCAATAGGTTCTCCTGTACTTCCAGTTCTGATGAGATGTGTAAGGATAGATCGCGTTGTCTAGAAATCGCATTCGATAGTTCATCCAACGTCCTATCCTGATCTGTTGGTTAAGATTAAGATCATCATTATCTGATCTGGTTTTTATTCTTCTTCTTCTACCTGCGAAGATCTATATTATATACTGACCATCTAGCAAGACTTGTTGAATCCGTTGTACCTGTTCGTTCTCAGATCTCATCAGTTCTTCATCCTCTTCGATTGCTTTCCTCGAGCGAGTTCGAGTGGTACTGGGGATGTCGATAGCCATAGAGGACTGAGAATTTGACTGAGTGTTTTGAGCTTGATGAAGATTGGATGTGACAGGTGAGCTGGTAGGTTCGAGTTCGGTTCCTTCGACATCGATCAATGGTTCTTCTGTTCTTGTTGTTGTTGTAGTAGTAGTAGTGGGTGGTTTTGAGGCGGGTAATGATAGATCGATTCCTTGGATCTCAGTTTCCATTCCTCCGACCCCTCTGACCAATCCTACGATCCGTTGATACTGATTCCTGAGTCCGACCAAGATCTGGTCCTGTTCGTCGACCCCAGTTTGGATGAGTCCATCGCGCAGAGTGAGCAGGTTCTTGAGTATCTTCGACTTGGTGGCTGGGTTGACAGTCAGTTCGAGTGAGTTCTGCTGCGATAGTTCCAAGATTGAGGTCAGTAGACTGGTTGAGATTGATGAGAGTCTGGCTGGTGTGGGTGGTTTGGTGCTCGTCATTTCGTGTGGGGTGCTTGTCTTGTTGGTTGGTTCTGGACAAGTTTTGCAAAAAAAAAAAGAAAAAGCAAAAGACGAGATGACAACAACAAACCACTTGATCTCGATCTGGGTTTCATCACCAGACTCATACTCAGAACGAAGATGGTCACCACACCTCACGATATCAGAACTAAGAGTAAGCTTCTTCACTTCAACAAGCTACATAAACTTCAAAGAACTAATCCTGCACACTCCTCGAATTCAGGCCAAGCTTCAACCGATCACTGGCATCCCAGCAGGCTCACAAAGATTGGCATTAAGCCTTATCCCAGGACAGTCGGACAGTACTCGATCGATCCTACTAGATAACGATCAACTGAGCTTATTGGATTATGGAGTACAAGAAGGAGCTACCATCGATGTAGGTATTTTCCTATCTTCTCTCCACCACCCCTGTTTTTTGACTCTCAACCGATCGAATCTTCTCTATATAGGTCATCGACACCGATCCTCATGCTGCTTCTCAAGCTGGACAGTATAACGATGTGAGCCAAGTTGAGAAGTTCGAACTACCTAAAGAGGAGTACGAAAAACGATCAGGTAATCAAGCTCTACTCCTCAAACTTAACGAAGATTGAGATTTGATACTCATCAACCGAGTTTTGTTTATATCTATATAGATAGTCTATTGGCGTTCAAGATGAGAAACAAGTTAGGTAGATTCAACGATCCAGCCAAAAGCACACAAGAAGACCCATCAGAATCGGTCACACTTAGTCAGACTGAGTTACTCGAACGTTATCCGCTCGGATCTCGCTGTCAAGTCAGCAGTCTGACCAACCCGTCAGAAACCACGCCATCTCGAGGGACGATCCGATTCGTTGGACCAGTAGAATTCAATCACAAGCATCCGTATTGGATCGGGATTGAATTAGATGAACCAGTTGAGCTTGTTTACCGTCAATAATACTCGTTGGATTGTTGGCTGATGTGAATTCCGTTCTGTTCCGTTTTCAGACTGGGAAGAATGATGGCTCAGTCGAGCTCCATCGATATTTCACTTGTCCTCCTAAACGTGGGATCTTTGTCCAACCTGATCGGATCCTCATCGGTGATTTTCCTCCAATCGATTTACTTCAAGATGATGATGATGATGAAATCTAGTATCTCTTCTTCACTCTACGTTCCACCTCTTTTCTTTTGTTATGTCAAATGATGAAGGAAGATTGTCATGCTAAATTACTTATAAGTTTAAATGATATTCTAGTTTTTTTTTTTTTTGGTTTGGTGGCTCTGGATTGAAGATGAGGAAAACCAAGAGAATACGTCATTTTTCTTCATCATAACAGGAAGAGAAAAATTACGACATCATGAATTGATCAGCTGAGGTCTTTCTGCACAGTCAATCAAAGTTTGATTTCTACAGAAAGTTTAGCTAATCAAACACCACAAAAATGCCCCTCATGTATGTATCAAGTTCAACAATGAAATCCATCTCATTGTTACAATTTTTATATTGAAGACTCTTCAACGTTGCAATATGAAAGCAAAAAGCAGGGTTTTGTGGTACCAGATCATAACATAGACACCAGTAGAGATGGCAATGGGTACCCGTTTGCGGGTACCCGGTACCCGTTTGCAGGTACCTGTTCTTCGGAGCGGGTACCCGCCCGCGGGTGCTGGGTGCGGGTGCGGGTGTTGAGTTTTGGGACAAGAAACGGCAGGTACCCGGGTACCCGCCTTGACACCCGCCCTGACACCCGCCCTGGGAATACAGTTTTGGGCTTTTTGGGCTGCACAAAGGTGTCAGCAAACTATGTAGGACACCATTTGGTGTCCTACATGGGCCTGTTTAGGCCAGAGGGAACCCTCCAGCCTTCAAGATGATAGATCAGAGAGAAGATAAAGTGCAAATTAGTGATAGGATATTTTGTTCTTCTTTATTTCTTTATTTTTATGTTCTTACTCATATATCTAGTGAATATCAATCATACATTTGGTAAGTCATGCAGAAATTCAAGGGTGAGATTTCTGGGTATATTTGCCTGCAAAAATGTGCCAGGTACCCGCAGGTACCCGGTGCAGGTACCCGGGTACCCGCCCCTGGCGGCCCTAGCAGGTGCGGGTGCGGGTGCGGGTGTCAAAAATATTGGATTTTTGAGGCAGGTACCCGCACCCGCTACAGGTACCCGGGTATCGAGCGCCATCTCTAGACACCAGCATAGGATGTATGAAGATTTGACTAGATTTCCCTTGCAAAAGAATTGTTTAGATCCAAAGAAGGTCAATGCATGTGATGCTGTAAGCAATCAATCTCATTTTGAAACATTCCTTAATTTGTGGTCCAACTTGTTAGTCAGCATAGGATTTGCTGATACTTTATAAGCTCCTGTGATCAGACTAAAGACAAAACTGGAGACAAAACTTCTCAATCATTAGATCTTGAACAGTCTGATCAACTTTTGGTCATCTCACAAAATTCCAAAGAACTTCATATACATTGAGTAATATTTTGCTTCCAATCCAGTCATCTGATCTATATTAGCTGCACTGCACAGGAACAACAAGAAATTGGTACTCTGCAAGCTTCATACTTGAGTAGAGTAGAAATTGGTGAAAAAAATATGCTTTTCTGCCTTGTTGATGAATCTTCCCAAAAAAGAAAAGACTGGATCAACTCTACTTTTTAGAACTTGATCAGAGGACTGCTCAATGTTTCTTCTAGAAACTTGCATGAAAGAAAACATCAAAGGGGAAAGAATCTTGTTTTTATCAGATTACTATAAACGAATCCTTGAATTTGATGCTCAAGAAACTGTAATTTTGATATTTATGTATGAAGAAAGCTCAAGGGATGAGGGACTCGGAGTACTGGGACCGGTGGCCCAGTGATGGACGCCGAATTGGTCGGTGGGTCTGATTACGTCAGCGAGACGGCATCCGATCGATCAGGTTTTCTGCCATGCCTGGGCCCAGCACACCACCACCACCACCCACTGCCAGCCAACATCGACACGAACACTAAAAAGAGAAGATGCGTTGGAAACAGTTCTCATTGGCGACGATCGGCCTATCAGCATCATCATGGCTTGCAAGTGTCTCCTCAGACCAAGTCGTCCTCGATCTCCCCCAATTCGCCGTCCCATCCAGCCTCCCAGCCCGGGTGACAAACTACCTACGGACGATCGATATCTCGGGCACGATCACTCGAGAGCAGCTCATCCTGCATCTCAGACGGACTCAACATGATAGCATGAATTGGTATCTTCCAGTCGAGCCTCATCGGGCCGCCAATCTGAGCTCGATGGAAATCTATGAGGGCAAGGCTAACAAAACCGGCGGACCTGGTAATCGGGGACTGAAGATCGAACCAATGGGTTATGATTCAGAAAAGTGAGTAATCAAACCAAAGAAATAAAACAGTTGAACTATCATCTGACCTGAAGCCTGTCAATTTGAATTCCAGAGAAATTCACGTGATTGAAGTGGAATGGCCACACCCAGACAATGACGAAGCGGTGATCACTATTAACTCCCATTTCCTTGGTCTGACCTCTCCCAGACCGAAATACCTGGCACAGGATGAAGGGGCCAAACAGGGGCTCTATTGGGAAGGTGATCTCCTGGCTGGATTCGGAGCTCTCAAAGATACTCTGACCGATGACGCCGAGGTGAAGATCAAGGTGAAGTAAGTCGAATAATCTCATCAATCAGACAATTATCCTCCAGCATCCAACAAATTAAACACTTTCTGTTTTTTAAAACAGGACACCAACGCCGAGGGTCTTCCAAAAACACGCCCCTTCTGGCTTTGATGTACAGCAAACCAGTGGATCGAATCAAGTGACATTCACAAGTAAAATCGATGGCTCAAAACTCTCAGATGAACCTCAAGTAGCACATGTACATTACTTCCAACCCTTCCCGTTGATGGTCATTGGCAATCTAACAAGGCTGGTCGAAGTCAGTCATTGGGGAAACAACGTGGCCATCGAAGACCAGATTCATTTAGAAAACCGCGGCCCCACGTAAGAATTTTAATGTTATTCTGGTCATCTTTCCCTCTCCAACAGTCCAGATCTTTTCTTTTATTGATGTATATTATTTTCTTTTTTTTTTCGAAAAGACTGAAAGGATCTTTCTCAAGAGTGGTACATCACAATGCGATCTATGCTCGAGCTCCCGGTGCTACTGCTCACATCCTGACAGGACTGACACTTGAGCTACCACAAGGGGCGATGAACCCATACTACATTGACACGATCGGCAATGTCTCCACCTCTCGTTTTCGACCCTCGATGCCATCAACCGCAACGATCGGCAAAAATCAACCGAAATTCAAGAAGATCAAGGAAGCTAAATCGAGCAAGCTTGAACTTACCCCTCGCTATCCGATCGCAGGTGGTTGGAATTACACTTTCACAGTCGGCTATAACCTTGAGGCTGGAAGACTCTTGAAAATCCACGAACCCGGGCAATATATCTTGAAAGTTCCCTTCTTCACTAACGCCCTCGACGTACCAATCGATCTGGCTAATCTTAGAGTCAGACTACCTGAGGGTGCCTTGTAAGATATCCTCTTTCTGACAGTCGATACATCCCTCTCACGGTAGCTGATTGGAATCCGATCTCACTTTTTTGTTGGTTTAACAAATCAAAAGCAATATCGAGGTTTACACTCCCTTTCCAGTTACAGAGTTGCAAGACGATCTGATCGATAAGACTTATCTAGATACCACAGGTCGCCCAACAATTTCAATCAAGAAACTTAGGTGCACGGAGAAACACGCCGAGGATATCTACGTGAGTTGCTTCTTCTTCTCTTGAATGATTATTAAGAAGAAGAGTGGAATGATTGATCGATGAATGGCATGTCCCCCTGTCTCTTACAGATTACTTACTTTAGACCACCAATCATTAGTTTACAAAAACCATTGGCAATCGCCGGATGGATGATGACCCTCTTTGTAATCGCTGCTGGGTTCAGAAGATTTGAATGGAAAATCGGCCATCATTAAATT